CGTGTAGGTGAACCATCAATAAAAATATGAGGATCTAAATCATCAATGATATATAAAAATGTAGAGGAGGAGAATCACAAAAATGCCCCACGAAGTATGGTGCATATTCAAATCGCCAATAATGACCATAGAAGAAGGGATGGACGACATAATCCTCGTGAGTTCTGATAAGATATTTAAACTAGGTATACGAATGTTAATAGAAAGAAAAGACATGTTATGAGCTCTAACTGCCACAGCATTAATTGAGTAACTATGAATAGGAGAGGAAATTAATGTATAAGTAACTAATAAAAATGAAAGAGCCAGCATGACCATAATTTCTATTATCCCTGAGCTATGAATAACCTGAGACACTAAAATGGGATCCAAGCTTTAACCATGTCTCTACAGGGACCTGCCTCACTATTCCCATACGAGTGATATTTTTAGAGGGTATTGTTGCGCGCCTAAGTTGACGTCTGGTACCTGCCACTAGCGCCATTTAGTGTCGGGGACAAGAGCTCAAGCCGTAACAGTATTATAGTATCATATTTAGCACCTGCAAGGGCTAGGTTCTCGAAAAACAATTTATATCAGCTGCACTTTAAATTCGACTGTGAATCGGCTGTGCCCTTACTCGCTTCGTAGAGAAAATGACCAAACTTCGTCGGTTTTAAAACTACTCCGGATGATAAATCGTAATAGTTTTTCAGAGAATCAGTCCACGATACGATTTTTCTTAGATTTAAATAATGCGTATAATGATGCGAACATAAATACATTACTGAACACTTTAAATCAACTTAATATAGGAACAAAAATTTTTCAATATTATAGTAGTTTTCTTAATGAACGATATCTTCCGAGGTCTAGCCCAAGGAGATCCGTTATCTCCTCTTTTGTTTAATGTAGCTACACTTAATATATGTAAAAGCGTCAAGAACGTTTACATCCCTCAATATACATATAAGAATTATCAGTAACGGAGTTATTGATATACAATTAGCTCTGAATACTCTTAATAGTTTATTTTTTACGTTAGTACTAGAAATATGTTCATCGAAAGGCAAGGTATGCATATTTATGAACGGACGCCTAAGATAAAACACAAATACAACGGTTAACAGAAGAAGCCTTAAAATCGTTAAAAGCATTAAATATTTGGTGTTATGGTTAGATTGATCTCTTCGATGGGCGAAGCACTTTCAGTTTGCAAATATTTTAAAAGTTTTAATAGGGCAAGATTGGGGAGTACATCCAGTTCAGTCGCGTCGCTTTTATATTTTTATGTAATTAAAAAGCTATTAAACGTAGTAGATTAGATTATGAAGGCTTTTTATTTAATAATAGACACAAAATACATTTAAAAAAACTAGATGTAATACAAAATCAGTGTATGCGGTTAATTGATGGGTTTGTCAAGAGCACTCCTTTCCATGTAATGGAATCGAAACTTCTTTTACAGCCATTATTTGTTCGAAGAAGATATTTAGCAGGTAAATTTTGCTTAAAGTGTAGATCTATTGATGAAAATATTGTTACAAATTGATTAGCATAAAAAAGCTTCTATTGACGACGTAGGAGGATCCCACGGCTTTTTACAATTCATAGATTATTTAAAGAAACTCGTATGTTTTCGAAATAATTTCACTCAATTCGTTGATTATCAAATTGGATTTATCCGATTCTATAATCCCTTAATTAGAATTTGTATTTGCACCTAAACATACATACAATCCCCATAACCTACAAATTTTATGTCATAAATATTTAATTGAAAACTTTACAAATTACAATAAAATATATACTGATAGCTCTAAGAATAAAGAAGTAACGGATACTGCATTTTTAGACATTCGTACCAAAGAATACTTTTAGCTCTGCTAAGGTAATCAAATTTCAGTTATACATGCGGAACTCATTGCAATTGCAGAGGCCTTAATTTATGTCAAGTTACTTAAGTATGATAAACTGTTGATATTAACAAACGCTCGCATTGTCCTTCAACGTTCAGAGATGTACTTCACTCTCTCGCGGTTTTCCATACTTATGACATACTAGCTGTTCCCCTCGACTTCGTCCGCGTGAAATTTATTACGATAGAATGTCATGGATTTGAATTTTTTGCGCAAGACCCCAAGTATTTTTCTAAAAGTAGATAAAGTTACGCCTTATGATATCAGCTATTTGCCAGTGAAAGTCCTTACAAAATTGGTTCAGTCATTTCGGAGAATAGCTGGAACAAACAGAAAACAGACACAAAAATTTTAAAAATTGTTTTTTGTTTTAAAAATATTTCATATAGCTGTGCCCTGCGGTTTCATCCGCGTATATCACGCATCTGCACCGCACGACATGACATGACATAACACCTCGCTCATTTAGTTCAATTATTTTAGCTAAAAATTGGCAAAATTAATGTAGTATTTTTATCTGTCGGCATATGTACGTGGTACAGTGAAGTTAAATTTTATCCACTCTCTCTACCCCTCCCGAATGAACGTCACCCCTCCCCCCACCTACCCCAAAAAAGGGCTCCAAAACGCGTTTTTTCCAGTTTTAAAGACAACTGTACACAGTACATGAAAAATGTTCTTGATGAATTTTCCATCAACCTGTTATACATACGAAAGCAATATAATTTATAGTTTTTGCGCAATCTGCCACAACATTTGAACGTTTCTTATTTTTAATCGATTTTTTTCGCTCAAAGTTTAGGTTTATTAAAATTTCCAACTTTACTCTTTAAAATTTTATTCGTTGCTACAGCAGATCCCCTCCGCAGAGATCGTGATCCTCGGAGACTTTAACGCCCAGCACGCCGAATGGCTTGATTCACGTTTAACCGATCATGCGGGGAGATCTGTTCATAACTTTGCCTTGGCATATGGTCTGACACAACTGGTTACTTCGCCTACGCGGATTCCAGATGTGGAGTACCATGCACCTTCCCTGTTGGACCTTCTGCTGACCTCTCACCCGGACGGATGTTACTTCTATAAAAATATTTAAAATATTTGCACACTTAAAGTGCTTCGCCCATCGAAGAGATCAATCTAACCATAACACCAAATATTTAATGCTTTTAACGATTTTAAGGCTTCTTCTGTTAACCGTTGTATTTGTGTTTTCTCTTGGGCGTCCGTTCATAAATATTCATACCTTGCCTTTCGATGAAGATATTTCTAGTACTAACGTAAAAATTAAACTATTAAGAGTATTCAGAGCTAATTGTATATCAATAAATCCGTTACTGATAATTCTTATATGTATATTGAGGGATGTAAACGTTATTGACGCTTTTACATATATTAACTTTTACATTAAACAAAAGAGGAGATAACGGATCTCCTTGGGAGATATCGTTCTTTAAGAAAAGTACTATAATATTGAAAAATTTTTGTTCCTACATTAAATTGATTTAAAGTGTTCAGTAATGTATTTATGTTCACATCATTATACGCATTATCTAAATCTAAGAAAAATCGTATCGTGGACTGATTCTCTGAAAAACCTATTACGATTTATCATCCGAAGTAGTTTTAAAACCGATGAAGTTTGGTCATTTTCTCTACGAAGCGAGTAGGGCACAGCAGATTCCCAGTCGAATTTAAAGTGCAGCTGATATAAATTGTTTTTCGAGAACCTAGCCCTTGCAGGTGCTAAATATGATACTATAATACTGTTATGGCTTGAGCTCTGGTCCCCGACACTAGATGGCGCTAGTGCCAGGTACCAGACGTCAACTTAGGCGCGCAACAATACCCTCTAAAAATATCACTCGTATGGGAATAGTGAGGCAGGTCCCTGTAGAGTGTACATTAGAGGAATTAATTTTATTAATCGAGATCCAATCATTAAAGCTCGCCGATTGAATAGAAAATCAGTTAACGAAAACTATAGCACTGTGTGGATTCCCTCTCAAAGAGTTGTTTTAACTTTTTCTGGCCAAAAACTTCCTTCTAACATTTATTGCTTTTACACATTAATGCCCATTGAACCCAACATTTTACAATTTATTCAATGTCACAAATGTTGTCGTTTTGGACATATAACTACGCCGTGTACTACTGCACAGGTCGTCTTCCCGAGGTTTTGTGTCTGCTCAAACCATGAAGGAATATGAACCTACAATGTCTCAAATATTTCCTATCATGAAGCCTCTGCCTGTTTCCCTCAAGTCCGGAGAATTTACGCAGATACTGCTAGATCCTTTCCTTCAGATCATTCAGATCATCAGAGTCTCTATCCAATTTCAAATTCCCCTTTATCTTCAGTAGCTCCCTCACAATCTTATTCTTACATGAAGATTACATTCATTCGAAGACCAGTGCCGTCTTTAGGATCAACGAGGCTATGGGCCAAGGTACTGGCTGGGGCCTATGTAAGGGATGGAAAATCCTTAAATTTTAACTTTATCATTTTTCAGTTTACAATAACGCAATAGGCTAAATCGTAACCCCGTCTCTTAACACCCCACATATGAGAGTTCAATAAATAAATTTTTTGAATCTAAAAAACTAATACCCCACCAATTCTAATTTAAATAAAATTGAATGAAAACCATATATTATAATCTATACAAAGAACAATACTTATATTTATTCATATACAAATATATGAAAGTGACGTCATCCGTGACATCATAGCCTATAACAGCATTGGTTAGCGAGCCACTGCATACCAAGTCTATAACTACAGCGCGATGCTGCGCCGAATCTTGTTTAATAAACAAGGGCTATCGGTTTTTCTTCGAGGAAGTGCCGTAAACTGTCCCCGCTGTATTAGATCGGACTACAATATTTCGTCGTTCCGGATCGACCTCAGTTCTCAATGGCTTCTCAAACGAACACTTGGCATTTCAACTTATTTCTTAATTCATTTTTACTTTACAATTAACTTATTTGCTTTGTTTTAAATACCCGTAATTTTAGCCATGCATACATTTAATTTCTTACAATTTACAATTTTCGTATATTTTAATTTCTTTAAACAAACGATTAAATGTAATGTTTATAATGCCATGTAAACGTTTTCTCAATTACAATATTCAAACTAACGCGCCAAAATCTTCATTCGGATTCTTACGCATGCGCGCTCTTGCGCGCAAGCAGAAGCGCGATTGTTTTGAAAGAAACTTGTTTAAGCTTGCTTTTGTTTTTGGTGAGAAAATGAATAGTCAACGTCCGTGTTTCGACACGTGAAACAGCCAGCAGGTTCATTAGTTCATTACCAGATTTTCACGCGATGTAGCAACAGTTAATTTAGTATTGTTTATCGAATCATTTGAAGTACATCAAAATCATGAATCGTGTTTATGAAAGTGGTGCTGCAAAAAAACGAAAAGCGAAAGAAGAACAAAAGAAAATAGACAAGTTACCAAAAATTACTGGATTTTTAAAACAACATGACATTACTAGTAAGTAATACTATATATTATTTGAATTAAGAGTGATTAGTTCATTAATTGAGTCCTATAACCTCATTGTTGTTCGCATGTAGCAAAAGTTTTTTTATGAAAAGTCGATTTAATATCATTTTTATGAAATTAATTTATGAAACAAACCGTGCTAACAGTATGATAATAAGATCATTGCATTTTATTTATTAGGCAAAAATGATGAAACGCCAAAAGGTACCGCTGATTTACAGGAAAATGTTATTCAAAACGAATCAGTCGATTTGAATCCTTCAGAACAGTCGGAATTATCAGTAGCTACACAAGTTCTTATAAATCATAGAACAGAAGGTAAATAAAGAGTTTCAAATTGTAAATATTTAGATTCTAAAAAAGCTGAATAATTTTAAATATTTTTTTCAATTAAAAGCGATTTACAAAAATATATTTTATTTTAATAGAGGAGGCAGCATTGAGAAGCACGTCAGAAAAAATTGAAAGTTATTCGACTGATATTGCGTTATGGGGCGAAATCAACGAGAAGTTACGATTATACTGGTTGCAAAAAAATCCAGGTTTATGCAGCAATAAGGATAAAGATTTCTCAAAATCTGCACGGATTTACCAAGAAGGAGATAAACAAAAAGTGAGAACTCTAAACAAATCATTATTTCAATTGAAACTACAAAATAATGAAATAGTAGAGCGTGAGTGGTTATCGTATTCGCCATCAACTGGACGTATATATTGCTTTGTATGTCGACTTTTTTCATCTGAAAAAAGATCAATTTACATTTTACGGATTTAATGATTGGAAACACCCAGAGCGAATTACGGAGCATGAGCAAAGCAAAGCTCATAAACAAACTTTAACTATTTATTCTAAACGGAGAAGAGAAACTGGTAGTTTAGAAAATGCATTAACGATTCAACAAAAAAATGAGAAAAATTATTGGATTCAAGTATTACGTCGAATAACTGACACTATAAAGTTTCTTGCTTCACGAGGTCTCGCTTTTCGAGGGGAGAACGAACGATTCGGATCTAGTCAAAATGGCAATTACTTAGGTATTTTAGAATTACTGAGCGAATATGACCCTTTCCTTAAAGAGCACATTAATACCTACGGAAATAAAGGACATGGAGTAACATCATACTTATCAGCTAATATTTGTGAGGAATTTATAGGCCTTATGGGGGAAAAAGTTCTTGCTTGCATTATAAGTGAGTTGAAGAAGGCAAAATATTATTCTTTTTCTGTGGATTCTACGCCGGACATCACTCATCTAGATCAATTAACGTTCACCGTGCGCTACGTTACCGATCAGGGGCCTATCGAACGTTTTTTAATGTTCGTTCCTATAGAAGGTCATAATGCCGAATATTTAACAGAGGTTGTAGTCAAATTTTTTAAAGATAATGATATTGATATAAATGACTGTAGAGGTCAATCTTATGACAACGCATCGAATATGTCTGGACGCTATTCAGGACTGCAAACCAGGATAAGGGAAATCAATAAGTATGCTGATTATATTCCTTGTGCCGGGCACTCGTTAAATTTAGTCGGCGTTAAGGCAGCTGAATGTGTTAATGCAGTCGTTAAGTATTTCTATATCGTACAAAATTTGTACACATTTTTATCAGGATCGACTTATAGATGGCAAAAACTATTGTCATATTTAGGAACGAAAAAAAAAGTCGTTAAATCTTTATCCGCTACTCGATGGTCAGCCCGAGCTGATGCAATCATCGCTCTTTTCACAGGTCATACAGATATTACGAAAGCTCTAGATGATTTATCAAAGGATGATACGCAGTCTAACGAGACTAGACTTGAAGCTAAGACCATTTTAAAGCAAATTACAAAATTTGAAAATGTCTTTATAACTGTGGTATGGCACGAAATCTTGACACGTATTAATGATACATCTAAAAATTTACAAAAAGAAAATATGGATTTGTATATAGCATGCAGTCTTTTAAATTCCTTAGAATTGTATTTATTGGATATCAGGGATAAATTCGATGAGTTTTTAGAAAAAGCAAAAAGCTTTACTAATATCTGCGAAAGTGAATCTACATCTGAGCCAAGAAATCGAAGAAGAAGCGTAAAACTTACTCGCTTTGAAGGAGAGAGTGAACATACACAATTTACTGGAGATGAAAAGCTCAAAATAGAGATTTTTTATCCGATAATCGATTCACTTTGTTCCAATTTGAAAACCAGAAAAACTGCTTACGAAACGGTGAATGATAACTTCAAGTTTTTTACTGCTCTACCAAACATGACATACGAAGGAATAAAAGAATGCTGCGAAAAGCTTGCCAGAAAATATGATCAAGACATTTCTGCAGAAAATTTAATATCAGAATGTTTACATTATAAACATTATCTTCGTGATACACGAAAGAACGAAGAATTATTTATTCCTGATCTATACTTGCAACTGAAGAAAGAATTTCTGACGTCTACATTCCCAAATATTGAAATAAGTCTCCGAATATTCCTTACCCTAATGATCACCAATTGTGCTGGTGAACGATCATTTTCTAGATTAAAGTTGATAAAATCCGATCATCGAAGCACAATGTCACAGTCACGATTGAATCATCTAAGTTTAATGAGTATAGAATCGGACTTATTAAAATCGATTGATTTTGATGAACTCATATCTAATTTTGCTGCGAAGAAATCGAGAAAAAAAGTTTTTTAAGCTGTATATAATTACTGTTATTTTAGTGCAAAAATAAATTTTTAAACAAATTTTCTAAATCTTGTTTCTATTTTACCAAGTGTGTGATTTGATATTTTTCTTATTATGTTATAAAATTTGTTGTTGTATATCGAAAATTTTCAGAATTGTGGGGCCCCTGCCTGCCTCGGGGCCTCGGGCCGGCCCTGCGGGCCCTGCCTTAAAGACGGCACTGTCGAAGACTCCCACTAAATCCAGCATCTAGTCATGATAACTCATACACATCAGGTGATCATCCTCCCCCATCTACAGTGGTATTCCCTTTTTCTTAAACCACTAATGATTACGCTTTAATAGGGCGGAGTATATCTCCTAATGAAAATCTGTGTGACCTAATGATTTTCATGCTTATAAGTACACTTTCCCGTTTCAGCGATATAAGTCACTCAGTAACCCTCTGCCAAAAACTTATTGAGCTCATTTCATTGACGAATAACCTTTCTTCCAATACTTAAGTATAACTGCCGGATCATTAAAATTAGAAAAATGAATTAACTTATCTTATTAACAAATATCATCTCGTCAGCCTAGCCATCTAAGAGACATGGTTAAAGCTTGGATCCCATTTTAGTGTCTCAGGTTATTCATAGCTCAGGGATAATAGAAATTATGGTCATGCTGGCTCTTTCATTTTTATTAGTTACTTATATATTAATTTCCTCTCCTTTTCATAGTTATTCAATTAATGCTGTGGCAGTTAGAGCTCATAACATGTCTTTTCTTTCTATTAACATTCGTGTACCTAGTTTAAATATCTTATCAGAACTCACGAGGATTATGTCGTCCATCCCTTCTTCTATGGTCATTCTTGGCGATTTGAATATGCACCATACTTCATGGGGCATTTTTGTGATTCTCCTCCTCTACATTTTTATATATCATTGATGATTTAGATCCTCACATTTTTATTGATGGTTCACCTACACGTAGAGTATCCTCTCTCCAAAACCCTAAAGTGCAGTAGATTTGTCACTCTGTTCCACTGCCCTATCTTCCCTTCTTTCTTGGAGAATATTACTCTTTTCCCATGGCAGCGATCATTTGCCTACTGTTACCATTTTCTTTAGCTCCAATACAGTCAATCTTCCATTTAAACTCAGGTTAAAGTATAACACATTAAAAGCAAACGGGCACCTGTATTCCACAGTTCTAGAGGAAGAACTTTCAGCCCTTCCTCCTGTCCAGAAAAGAAGGTTCTTCGGGTGTACTATAATTTTAAAATGATATTTTATCTCCTGTCAATGAGACAATCCCTATCAAAAACCCTATAAAAATAATGATCCTTCACCGCTTAGGTGGGATCAAGATTTTTCTATAGCATGTAAGAAGAGAAATTAGGCTGAATTAAGACATTCCTCCTCTATGAATTTTAAAAACTATATATTTTTTAAATTGCTGCTGTAACCTTAAAATTACTATCTGGAAAGAAAAAGGCTGTATGACTTAAATTCTGTGTCACTGTCGCCTAGGACTTCCTTGGCCTAAAACCCTCTCAGAATAGAGAGGGGGCCTGCGCCCATCGTGGGACGTATATAGGCTGTAACTTTATTTTTTAACTTTAGTAGTTTTTGAGTTATCCTTAGTAATACGTATTTAATTGACTTCGACTACATTGATGATGTTCTCATATTATTTATATTGAAGTCAGTGGTACAAAATTTTTAATTTTACTTCTGGTTGTAGTACGTAGACTCAGCCACGTAACTATATTTTATTCTAGGGAGCAGTGAGACTCAAATAGTTTTATTGTACGCGTGGACTTACACTTTAACAGAGAGGAATGTCTGCGTATAGCTACTCCCTTCGGATCAAAAAAACACGACTAATTGTGTAAAAACATAATATACTATTAAATTAAAATGTAAAAAATAAGAATTTATGTTTTAAATTTTGTTTTGGTCATCCTGCAAAAATGCAATTTTCGATTTGTGTCGTTTTCGTTTTTAATGAGCGAATACTGGCAACTTATTCCACTACTTTGCTGTACGCATGATTAACGATGCTGCAAAACGTTTGCTTCGAATGCGTGGTAAGTAGACAAAGAAAGGCTGGGGCCTGGCCGAGCGTCTAGTTGTCCGATGGTGGAGAAGTTGTCCGAAGGGAGAGGTAGGAATTAGGTTATGCAATTCCTACGCACACTCTCCAAAATGCCTCCTGTTGAAAACCGAAAGACTGGCTACTTTGCGCATGTGTTCGAGACTGGTGAGATTGATTTGAAATAAAAATCAGATCTTTTTTGATTGAGTCCAAAGCTGCTAGGTGGCATTTTGCAGCACTACAAGTTCTCTCTATTACCAAGTTTAAAAATTTAATTCAACAAAAACTGTATAAAAATGGTTACACATACATAAGCCATACATAGGCTGCTATGGATACGAATTAAAGTGGGATTAAAGAAGCTGTTCCTGCTAGGGGTGTACGCCCCAGACATGTCTAAGCCCACTTACATCCGAGAGCAGTTTTGGAATATGGTAAGGATGGTGTTGACAAAATGTAAGGAAAATGAAAATATTATTATGTTAGGAGACTTTAATGGAAGGGTTGGGGTGAAGAGGTCTGGTTATGAAAGGATATTGGGAATGTTTTGTGATGAAAGTATAAATGAGAATGGTGAAGACCTCCTCACCGTATGTGTGGAAAAGAATCTTTTTGTGACGAATACTTTTTTTCGTCATAAGAAGATTCACATGTATACATGGGAAAGAGGTGATGATAGAAGCATGATAGATTTCGTAATTGTGGATAAAAGAATGAGGAGCGCAGTCGTAGATACAAGGGTTTACCGGGGGTCCAACGTAGGGACGGATCATTACTTGGTCTTATGTCGAATTAATGGTCTTTTCAAGCGTTGGCGGCATCGGACATCTGTGTCTACCACTGCGTTACAGCGTATAAGAATAGAAAAGTTACAAGATGAAGATGTGAAAGAGAAGTATAAATGTAGACTGAGAGGAAATATTAGAAGTTTGAATGAGTTGTGTATGAATGATTTAGACTTGAATACTGTGTGGGACAATATTAAGAAAGGTTTGGTGGATGCGGCCACTGAAGTATGTGGTGTAAGTAGGAGAACAAATGAAAGGAAAAGTTATACGTTGTGGTGAGATGATGAGGTACGGGTGGAAGTTGAATCAAATAAGAAAGCATGGTTAAATTTACTAGCAACCAAAGCTGGTAATTCTTCTGGTATGAATGATGAGATTGAAAGAAAAAAGGCAGAATTTAGACGTCTAAATAAGAGAGTAAAAGAAGTTGTTGAAAGGAAAAAGAAAGAAAGAATGGATAAGAATGATAGAAGGATATCTGATAATTTACAGGCTAACATAAAAATGTTCTGGAAACTCGTAGGAACTGCCAGGGGAAATACAAAACAGCCTATAATGAATGCTATAAGAGACGAGAATGGATGTATTCTGAATGATGAAGCTTCGAATATGAACAGATGGAAGGAATACTTTGAAAGCTTGTATATGAGTGAAGAATCGTCTGAATTAAATGAACTAGAAATTCCGAAAGAAGTGGAAAGGGGTATGGAGATAAGTGTAGATGAAATAATGAAAGCAATGAAAAGTATGAAAGCAGGTAAGGCAGCTGGATATGATAGAGTATCACTCGAGATGCTAAGGGCTGGAGAGGGAGTGGTGGCAGGCCTGCTCTACACCTTGTTTAATTTATGTTGGGAATTAAAACGGGTACCGGATGACTGGTGTAAAGCAGTTATAGTACCAATATATAAAGGAAAAGGGTCACAGCAGGACCGCAAAAACCACCATATGGTACCATGCACGCAGGTACCATGTGGTATCAGCTTGCTTAGTATTGTGGGTAAACTGTATGCTAAGGTGTTAATTGAAAGAGTTATGAAAGAAACTGATGAAAAAATTTGGGATGTGCAAGCGGGTTTTAGAAAGGGAATGGGGTGTACAGATCAAGTATTTTCCATGCGCATGATTGCGGAGAAGTTTTTGGCTAAAAACCAGAAAGTTTTTTGTGCGATCATGGACTTGGAAAAGGCTTATGACAGAGTGGACAGGAATGTGTTATGGCAAACACTGAACTCATATGGGTTGAGCGCTGGTTTGATACAGGCATTAAGGTCTCTTTATAGGGACTCTAGTGCTTGTGTCAGGATCAATGGAGTCTACTCGGACTGGTTTGGCATCCAAAAAGGTGTCATACAGGGCTGTGTAGCTTCCCCTTGGCTGTTCAACCTATTTATGGACAGGTGTTTGCAAACTTTGAAAGATGAAGAATGTGGGTTAAGAATGGGCGAGTTAACCGTCAAATGCCTTTTGTATGCCGATGATCAAGTCATATTTGCGTCATCGGCGGCTGAGTTGCAAATGATGGTTACATTAATGAACTGGGAATTAAAAAAAAGGGGAATGAAAGTGAACGCAAGTAAGACGAAAGTGATGGTTTTTGAAAGAGAAGAAAGCAAAACGGTATGTGAAATAAGAATAGAAGAAGAGTTAATTGAGCAAGTGGATTAGTTTGTGTATTTGGGATGTGTCTTTAGCAGGGATGGTAGATATGATAGGGATACAGAACGACGAGTAAATGCAGGGAATAGAGTGAATGGGGCACTATACTCTATTGTGAAGAACCAGAATGTGTCAAAAAAGGCACGTATGGTAATTCATAATGCTGTGTTAGTACCTACTTTAATGTATGGTAGTGAAAGCTGGGTGTGGCAGAAGAAGCACGAAAGTAGAATAAATGCTGTAGAAATACGGTCTTTAAGGAGTTTGCTAGGGTTGAATCTGAATGACAGGGTGAGAAATTGCATGATAAGAGATAAATGTGGTATGCAAGATGATGTTGTGACCAGGATTAAGAAAGGAATGCTTCGGTGGTTTGGTCATGTAGAAAGAATTAATGAGGAAAGAGTGACAAAGCAAATTTATATGGCAGATGTGAACGGCCGAGTCGGGAAGGGACGCCCTAGAAAAAATTTTATC